CTTTCGTTTTCTCCAAACTAGACAAACTTAGTTTCAACTCACTGTTCAGATTTAATTTTTTAAATTTCCCTCCCTGCCTAAGTAGCAACTCTTTTTAGTTTCCTCTCAATTACAAAAATTGAAAATCCATTTATTTTTATAATCTCCCCCTTGCCCATGATATCCAATTAGTTACTAAACCCTAAAGAATCTGGCACTTTAAGGTCACCCTGACATTGGCTCACTCCTCTCTGGCTCCCACCCCAGTTTAGACCATGATTACTAGTACGTATTCCAAATTTTACAGCAACTTCAAAAATGATGTTCCTCCCCTTGTCCCAGCCACTTCCCTTCTATCCTGCATATCATATTCCCATTAATCCTTTTTACACAGCAATTTAGCGTTTTTACTCTCTTTTCCAAAACTTTTAAATCTTCCTTCATTCCATGTTCTATAGGATAAAAAAAGTTAAAACTTCTTTACATTTTGATCAAACTACATTTCCCACCTAAGAAAGGACTTGAAGAGCTTATAGTCCAACAACTAAAGTTTTACAACTTTCTTTCTGCCTCTCATAATATCCTTTTCTTTTCATATTCAATTTATTTATTTAATGTATCTTTATTGTTGAAAGGATTACAGATGTCGCCCCTTTCCCCCCACTGATACCCCCACCCCCACCCCAGGCCTTCATCACACTATTGTCTGTGTCCGTTGGTTGTGCGTACATGCATGTACGTTCTTTGGTTTGTCTCTTCCTGCCCCACCCCCCTCCCTCTGAGGTTTGTCCGTCTGTTCCCTACTTCCCTGTCTCTGGATCTATTTAGTTCGTCAGTTTATTTTGTTCATTAGATTCCACAAATAAGTGATTTGACGTGATACTCATCTTTCTCTGACTGGCTTATTTCACTTAGCACTTCTTTTAGCATCCTTTCTTCACCTTTACCATTACGTTTGATGTATAGTCTAATTAAGGTTGTGATTCAGTCAGCACATATTACTGGATTTCTCATATGTGTGTAGCCTTGTGCTGAGTGCTCTATTTCCCTTTCAATTTCTAATGGAGAAATGCCAGCAAAGACCTTCATTCTGGTGCCTGAGTTGGAAGAGCCTTTTTGCCTGAAATACCCAACTGCTAGTTTTGCAAATGCTCTATTTAATGAAGAGGCCAAATAGGATAAGTTAGACCAAATTAATGATTTGGGAACCTGAACTATCCTGGGGGTATTTTCCTCTCTTTTGATTGTACTTGTCAACCAAATAATGGCAAAAGATCTCCTTAAAGGTGTGTTGATACATTCTGAAGCAATATCAGCCTTATCAATACATTCTGCTCTTTAAAACAGATTTACATTTAAGAAAAAAAATGAATGAAAAACAATTGTTTTATTTAAATATATAATTTATTCTAAGAAGCAGGGAAACTCCAGTCTTAGTGAACAAGATGATAATATGTGTATATTCATTTTAGTCCATTGCTCCTTTGAGAAACTAAATATTTCTTAAATGGAGAACTCTTAAAAAGGGGAACAAATGAACTACATTTTTATACAGATGGAATTCAAGTTAGAAGTTTTTTGTAGAAAAATGCCTATGAACCTCTATTTTAATTTACTCCATCTTTCCCATCCAAAAAGTCTGTGTATGGGGTCCCGGAGGCACGGGGATGTAAGGAGTGAGCTCTGTTGAAGGAGTTTACGTGTAGTGACCTTGCTATCATCTCATTAATAACTTAATACTTCAGTATTATCAGGTGTTTCAACTTCAAAGCCCTGGAGTTTTAAGGACAGTTGATGTAATGAAATTCCAGGATATTCTTTTGCTCACTTAACCACTGACAGTCAAGCACACTCAAGCCTCTCACATTAAAAACAAGGATGGCACCATCTTCTCATGACTCCATTTCCCCTCCTGTTACTGCGTCTCTCTCTCCCACCTGTCTCTTCACGGCTGAACTTCTCGGGAGCTTGATGTACCTGGTCTCTCTTCTCGTCCATCCACTGACTTCTTTCTAATCTGACCTTCCCCTCCATCTGCCACAACAGTCTAATGCTCCATGGACCCTGCTCAGCCCTCATGTCACTCCCTCCGCCCCTTCTTGGAGCACTTGCTTCTGCTTTCCTACTGTCCCGGTCTCCCCTACCCCCAGGGTCTCTTCCGTATAGATTCCTGTATATGGCTGTTAAGTGTTAAAATTTCTCCAAGTTCAAGCCCTAGACCAACTTTTCTTCTCATTTGCTAATCTTTACTGAAGTCTTACCCATGTATATGCCAACAACTCCCGCTTTTACACTTTCTTCCCAGACCTCCCCTCTGAGCTCCAGACCTGTGAGTCCTACTGTGTGTCTCCATCCCCACTTGGATCCCCAAATGTAACATGTTCTGAGCAGAACTCATGACCTTCCCCATCCATGCCAGTGTTTGATAGCTCAGTGAATGCTGTTATAGTGACCTAGGGATGGTTTTGAAACTCTTCCCCTTAGCTCTGCCTCCTGTCGTATCCAGTACATCACCAATACCCTCTCTGTCTCTCAGACCACCCACATCTCTGCATCTGTGCAGCCATCCTCATCCCGTTTAGCATCCTGTCCTGCCTGGGCTGCAGCAGTAGCCACCTAACTGGTCTCCCTCATCTCTCTTCTCTCCCTCAATCTGTCCTCCCCTTCCAACCTTTCTAAAATGCAAGTCTGATCAAGCTGCTTGGAGGCCGTAAACCTTGCAATGACTCACCACTCACTGCCCACAGCAGAAAGGTCATTCTCCAACTGCCTCTCCAGCCCCATCTTGAACCAGGCCTCGGCTTGTGCCCGCTCCTCCTCGCATGCTCACTCCCAATTGCTTTAATGTGCCGTGTTCCTTTCAGCCACAGTCCAGCACAGTCGTTCATCTTGTTTGAAACTCCTCTCTCTCTGTCCGCCCTAGGTTGCCTAGGTAACTCCTACTACCCCATGTCAGGTCACTTCACAGAATCCTTCCCTGACCCTTGAGGCTGAACAAAATTTCCCTGTCCTACACTCTCATAGCACCCGGTTTCTCCTCAGAGAAATGATCATGATTTGTGTTGATATAATTTGTTATATAATGATTTGATTAATGTCTGTCTTGCCTACTAATATGCTAGTGCAATGAGGGCAGGACCTGTGCAGTGCCTAGCACATAGTCAGCACTCAACAAAAATTTGGAATGAGTGAACAAAGAAATGAACAAATGCTTGTCATAGTGACTGGTCCAAGGTCAAGATAAGAAGGCTGAAACCATAGCCAGGAATTCTAATTTTCAGTTCAGATTACTAACCTCAGCAAAGAATTCGTCTGGGATTGTTCTGCATTACGGGAACCAAAGCAACCTCACAACTAAACACCAATTTCTCAACCCTGTCACTTTCTATGATTACACTTATTCAGCAAGAGGATGTTGTAGGTATAGTGGCTTTTCTTTTTTCCACAAAGCACGTGCTATCTTGTAGCTCTACTGGGGGTGGGGGTGGGGTATTAGGAAAAGCCATGCCACTATTTAAAACTTGTAAAGATTGCCCTGGCCGGTTTGGCTCAGCGGTTAGAACATTGGCCTGCAGTCCAGAGAGACCCGGGTTCGGTTCCCGCTAAGGGCACGTACCTCAGTTGCAGTTTGTCCCCGGCCCCGGTTGGTCGTGTGGGTGGCAGCCACTCGATGTGTCCCTTTCACGTAGATGTTTCTCTCTCTCTCTCCCTCCTACTCTATCTGAACAAAAAATGGAAAAATGTCCTTGGGTGAGGATAAAAAATTAAAAATAAAACTTGTAAAGATTATTGAGATTCTCAGAAAAAATATAAGGTATAGATCACAAAGAGCAATTTTGTGCCTTGCAATAGAATTTTCTGTTAAAAAAAAATGTGTTGTTAATTTCAAAAGCTAATATCTCAAAAAAAGCATTTGATTAGGTGGGATAATCATCATCATATTCCCAGCTGCTGTGTACAATACATGTTCTCTTAAGAGGAAAAAGCCGCGTTGCTGTTTGGGAGTGCCTTTTATGTTTTATGATATCCACATAAAAAGACCAGTGGTTGCGAAATTTATAAGACAAATTGTTTGTCTGAAGAAGTTTGAAGATGTGATTCTCAAGGGTATTTATGCTGCGGATGAAAATGGAATCATTATGTTGTAATTCCCCTTGCTCACGTCAGTGACTCCCACCCGCAGCCAATCCACTGGTTATAAGTAGCCATGTCCTGCCTTGTGGATTGTAGTCCACCAACCAGGCCAGCCCAAGCCAAACTCCTGGTAAGCTTTATGGGTCCTTTCTATGGGTTTCGTTTTCATTCCACACCTCTGGGTGGGAGACAGTCTTTACTTGCACTGTGGTGGTGTGAGTCTCAGATGTGTGTGTAAAGTGCATTTCTCAGTTTGGGGTTTTTCTTTCTTTTTAACATTCAGTGTTATGTTATATTAGTTTCAGGTGTACAGCACAGTGGTTAGACAATTACATAATTTACAAAGTGAGCCCCCTGATAATTCAAGTAGCCACCTGGCACCATACTCAGTTATTACATTGTTGTTGTTGAGACTGCTGTCTTAACACTTATTGAGTAACGTAAGGTTGGTTTTTCGTGCTTTTTTGCGTGTTTGTTTAAGATTTTCACTTTTTTTTTGGAAATAAAGTTCATTTTTTCAAAGATAAAATAGTATACTCAGAATTGGTAGGTTGTATTCACAATTACTTTGCTTTTCATTGTATAATGTTCTCATTATCACGGACTCCTTTAAGCCCACCCTGGATTTTGAAGGTCTTAGTTGCAAATGAGCCTGGAGGGAAAAGGGGCTGCAAACTTCAGGTGAACCGAGATACTGTTTCTTCTTCCTTGTCTCCCTTTAAAAATGTTTCTTTTCTTTATTCTACATTTGCGTTCTCTCTCTCTCCCTCTCTCCCTCTTTCTCTCTCTGTCTCTCTCTGTCTCTCTCTCCCCCACCCCCTCTCCCCCTCTCTCCTCTAACCATTGCCATTTCCCCCATCCTTCCTTTCACGCAGCTTCACTCCGCCATGCCCAAAGCATTCCTGCTGCTGTGTGTTGCCCTGGTGCTACTTGGGCCTATACATGGAGCCACCCTGAGAAATAAAGAGAAATGGAAGCCACTCAACAACCCCAGAAACGGAGATCTTGTAAGAACGTGCGCGGGCCGTGCGGGGCTGGGGAGTGACCGATGCCTCTCTGGATCTGTGCGCACTGAGCTCAGCGCGCAGTCCGAGAAGGCTGCCAAGGGCTAAGCGGACGCCCAGCAGGAACGGACCAGAGTTTTCCTAGTTTAGTAGCTGACATCCTTTTGTTCCTCTAGCTAATTTACATTTGCTTCTGGAAGGAGAAACGTTTATATTTAGAAGTGACCTGATACACACAGCACATTACATTTGTAAGTGATCGTCTATGCACATTGATGTGAAACATAGCAATACAGGATGAAAACAATCAAATAGCCCTTTGCACAGCTTCTGTGTATTTATTCATTTCCTAAAGGAAAGCTGAAAAGTCCATGTCTGAACAACAACGATTTCAGAAGATGATGTCAGTCCGCGAGTTGGCGCCAAGCTCTGACACTGGAGTGCAGTTTAATCTCCGACGCTGGTATTCAGAGACGGTTTACAACAAACCCTCTGCCTGGTGCTGTTAAGTCACTGATATTCCTCTCTCACCATTCAAGAATGGTGAATTACTTGTTTGGGGTTGATATGTCGGGAAGAAGGCAGGGTGGAAAACAGTGGAGGGCGAGGGGGAGAAGTAGCCAAAGCTGATACCCCTGAGTTGTCCACCTCCTGGTCTTAGAGAAGCCTTACGGTCAATCCAGGTGGGGAAAGAGAGGGGAAAATATTCATCTCTGAGTATTTTTGCTGTTTAATTTTTATATGGCAACTAAACATTTTCTCTCTTTCTTCAGTTTTTCAGAACCCTTCAGGCATATTTCAAGGGAAGAGGTCTTGATCTTGAAAGCTTTCCGAATACTTTCACCATGAGTGAGAACCCCAGACCTCTCTCTTTGCCATCAGAACTTATTGCTTCTGCGTTTGCTGATTATGAAAAGCAGAAAAAGCCCTTTCCCAGTTACCTCTGAGGCTGAATGTTTCTTCTGAGAGCAGGTAAAATGTATCCCTTTATTCCCAAACACACAGCTCAGTCACAGTGAGATTTTGAAAGTATTTATTTGAAAAATGATTTTATTTCTTCATAGAAATAAGTGTTTAGTTTAGAAGATACTCATTACTGGTAATATTTGGACTTGGTTCAGGCATTTCATCTCTGGTTTTAAAAAGAAATGACAGCTATGATTTTTTAAGCATAGTTTTCTGGGAAGAGATGTAGTAAAATAATAGAATTCCCCATCTTAATTGGATTATTAAATTTAATAGGCTGCCACACACTTTTACCTATATCCTTTTAATCAGACCAGGTCATATAGCTAAATTATGTGTAAAATCATATATAAAGAAGATACATCCAATTGTGCAGTTAAATTAAATAGAAAGTAGGGTTCAAAGAATGGCTCTTTTTAGAAGAATGTAATAAGCATATATTTGAGTTTGAACTTCTTCGCCTACAGGAAAAAAGTAAAATATTAAAGATGAATTCTTCTCATTGGAAAACTGTTCAAAATTTACTTAATGTTTAATACTTGAATTTTATTATTCTTGTTACTTTAGCATTTCTATCTAATGAATACCTGTCATCTAAAAAAGATAGGTGTAGTGCATTCCAACAAAATACATTCTGATTCTAGTCTATTAGCTTTTTGTTCAGCTGAATAATAAAGGGAACAGAATCATATTTGTATCTACTCCTGCTCGTCTGCGGGGTAGGGATGGAGTCACGGGGAAGCATTGCGCCATTGCACTCGACTGTGCACAGAAAGGATTCTGATGATCAGTTCTTTTCAATGTGTTCAAAAAACAAAAATACAAACAATGTTATTCTAAAAAGAAGATGCAACTTACCATGTGGTATATGCACTTGGAAACTCTCCTACATGAGAAAATAAAATAGAATAAACAGAAAGATGTTAATGAGGTGTTCCCTCGACCATTTTTCACACTTAGGCCCTAGGCTACAGGAAACCGACCCAGAACAGTTATTAACACCACAGCAGCGACTTTAGTCTGAGACAGAACTGCATGCAGGTGACTTGTAAGCCTTAGTTTCTTTGTCTATAAATTGCAGATACTAATCTTTAACTCATAGGACATCCGAGAAAATGTCAAACGCGTACTTTGATGTGGGTGTGGAATGAGTTCTGGGTGGGGGGCAGGAAACAGGAAGAGCACCCAGTTTGCTGTTACAGTACAGTGGGAACCCCTCAACAGGGGGAAAGAAGCAGAGCTTCTGATTTGGAGAATTTTTTATAACTAAGCTCTCCTGTCCTAACATCTCTGGGTATAAAATGAGGACAAAGTGGTTGAGATGTGTTGATCTTTGAGTCTTTGTGCTGGTTGCCCAGTCTTCATTTTCCATTTCATTGGGACATCTTGTTCTTGCAGGTATCTGGCTATTTTTTAACTGAAGATGAAGCCTCTTGTTAGAAAAATCCAATCATGGTCATCGCTAAACTTCCCCCTCCACTGTCGTCAACCTGCAATGATTTTATTCTATGTCCAGATTTATAGGGAACAGCTTGACTTTGGGGTCATCTGCAACTCGTGCATATTTCTGGTGTTTTTCACTCTCTAAATATCAATGTAGAGCACTGCATACATTTGTAAGTGTTACAAAACACAGAGACAAGAGAAATGATCTTCTAAATTATGTTTCATTTAAGCTTGTCTTATATGTGTATATTACTTTTTATCAATCAATACTTTGAAAGGGACGTTCCTCCTTTTTACTTTAGGTCATTATATGTACTAGGGATTTGGGTTTTAAATTTGTTTTTTTTTTTCTTGGAAAGACAATGCACTCACACTTTCAGCATATGCTGTTGAAAGACCTCCCAGTCTTACCTGGCTGGTGTGGCGCAGTGGATCGAGCATCCTCCCATGGACCGAAATGTCCTGGTTCGATTCCCCATCAGGGCACATGCCCAGGTTGCCAGTTGGATCCCCAGTGGGGAGCATGAAGGGGGCAGCCAATTGATGTTTCTCTCTCACATCCATGTTTCTATCTCTCTCTCTAAAAAAACAATTAAAACATAGCTTGAAAAAAAGAAAAAAGAAAGACCTCCCAGTCTTAGTTTCATACCAAGGAAGGTAAGTGATAAATATCCATAATTAAGTTGAAATAGAAAGCAAAGAAACATGGGATTCTAGAAGTTGCTGGGGTCCCTGAGAGATGTACTCTGCCACTGTGTTCAGAAGTGGATGTTCGCCACACCAAATACCCTAGCCCACCTCAGCTCTGGCTCTCCCGCACACAACTCCTCAAGAAGGGAGGGGAGAAAGCCAGAGGGAATGGGGGTAGGGTAGGTAGAGGTGGGCAAAGTAGGGAAAAGGGGAACAGAAAGAGACAATGCAGTGTGCAGATGATGTTTTATTGAGTTATACTCTTGAAACCTGTATGGTTCTGTAAATCAAGGTCACCCCCAATAAATTCAATTTTTAAAAGGGAGAGGGCAGAAACTGGGGTGGGAGACAATCAACCTTCTCCCCTCCCTCCTTCTTGGGCCAGATTATTCTGATTCTCACATTCTCATTTGGAATAACTGCTTTTCCTGTATCTTAATGGAGAGCTGCATCATTTTCTCTGTGATTCTTGCCAAAGGAACATGGTAATAGAAGTAAACATGGTGTCCTAATAACACTGTACATTCCAAGTTTTCTGTGGCTTTTCTGTGGATGATTGATACTGAATATCACAAATAACATTTATGCAAGAACAGATTCTGTGTCTGGTTTAATATGTTCTGTTGTAATTAGTTGTGTATGTGTCTGTTTTCCCTGGAGGGTTGTGAGGCTGTTGTAAGCCATTTTTATTTCTCCAGCACCTAGCACAATGCCTAGCATGTAGCAAGTGTTCAATAAATACGTGTTGACTTGAAATAAATGTGTGTAGCCCTGGCTGGTTTGCCTCAGTGGTTAGAGGGTTGGCCCTCAGACCAAAGGGTCGCAGACTTGATTCAAGTCAAGGTCATGTACCTGGGTTGCAGGTTTGATCCCATGCCCTGGTAGGGGTCATGTGGGAGGCATGAGTTTCTTTCCCTTCCTCCTCTCCTACCTTCCACTTTCTCTATAAAATTCAATGGGAAAATATCCTTGGGTGAGGATTAACAATAACAAAAAAAAAGAAAAAGAAAAGAAAGGTGTGTTATTCTGCTACTATTCACCCAGTAATGAAAGCTCACTCTAGTTAATGTCAAGAATATTTTCGACCACTTAAAATATATAAATAATTATTGATGAGCTATTCCTCATAAAAATATAGCCTATTCAGATCAATGGTGAAGTGTCTGGAGACTGGTTTTCCCTTTCCTCTCCCCACCCTGCTCTGGGTGTCAAGACCTCCACAAAGAGAATGCTATCAGTTCAGGGCCTTTGACAAGGAAGTGTCCACATGGGACTTTCAGCTATGAGCTTACAAAGTCTCAGGACAGGGATATGTATCCTTCTGGAAAATTCCTCACAATTGGCAGGTAGCTGTTAATGAAAGGCTTGCTCTCCACACTGACCAGAGTTTCTTAATGCTGATGCCATTGGCAGTTGGAGAAGGTCCCGTCTTCACCATGTGTGACCATTTAGCACACCTGGCCCCCAAACACTACATGTTAGTAGTTTCCTCACCGCTGCCCTGCTATGTGGACAACACAGACCTCCCTACACATATTTCTCAAAGCCCACTGGGGAAGTGATTTTGCTCTTGGCCAAGAACCATCGCTAGGAAAACAGCAGAAGAGCAGTGTGTCTGTGTCTCCTCCAATGGAAATAAATGTTCTGCAGGTGATCTAGGCTCTCAGGGGGTCATTGGGTACTTCTCTGCAGTCTCTCAACACTGACTGTTCCTGTTTGATGAGCACTCCTCTCCCATCCTTAGGACATAGCCTGTTGTCTCCAATCCCAGATCTAGGGAGGTAAAAGCTGTTAAGGGTGTTTTTTACCTTCCTTGCAAGCTACATGCTGTCCTGCGTCAGTTTCACAAATCTTGGCAGACACATGAGACCCTGGGTCTGAAGCAATGGATTTGAATACTCATGGTGTGGCAGGCAGCATGAGGTTTACATTCACCTTGGTTCTCCTGATCTGTCAAGGTGTCCTGGGGCCATTGAGGTGGGTCCAGGTGTATGCTGTACACAAGTGGGTTTGTGCCACAGCTGAGGAACCTCAAACTCAGGAAACCCCTGCTCTTATGATGGGACTACTAGCAAGAAAGCTGAACCTTTGCCCCAGAGAGAACTATTATCTTTATTATACTTGTCAGAAAACAAATTTGCTCTCTTCCCCAGAGAGAGAGAGAATATCTCTGCCTTTCCAAGGATGTTTGTAAAAGATAGCCCAGACTGAAAGCTGTCACAAGCTTTTACAGAAAAGGGGAAGATGCCCTGGCCAGTTTTGCTCAGTGGTTGGAGTGTTGGCCTGCAGACCAAAGAGTCTTAGATTTGATTCTGGTCAAGGGCATGTACCTTGGTTGAAGTTTGGTCCCCAGCCCTGGTCTGGGTTGTGCAGGAGGCAGCCAAGAGATGTGTTTCTCTCACATCGATGTTTCTCCCTCCCCCTCTCTCTTTCTCTCTCACTGTATCTGAAAATCAATGGAAGAATATCCTCAGGTGAGGGTTAAAAAATAAATAAAAGAAAAAAAAAGTGGAAGAACCATGGAAAGATATCTTCCCAGAAGGGTCACACCCCATTCTGGCTCCTCTTGACTGTTTTATAAGTAGAAAGGATGGAATAATTTCTTCCCTCATACTCTTAATTCTGTTGTCACAGCACAAATTCAATGTTCTGCTTTCTTCAAACATTCCTTTGATTCTCAAAAATGAGCTTGAAAGTCTAAAAAGTTCCCTCTTGCTATTTTCATTACTGCCATAACAATTCCATTTCATCGCAGGGTATGGTGGATGCCCTCTAACTCACCAGGGGACAAAACACTCACAGGGAAGTGGAGAAAAGAAAAACAGAAAGATTACAATTTCAAGTT